TTTTTTTTTTTTTTTTTTGGTGTCAGGGATCAAACTCGGTCCTTGCGGCTTGTGAGGTTTGTGTACTTTTTTGCTTACTGTCATCATTCTTGTTCTCCGTTGTGTGTAAGGTTTCCTGAGTTTAAATCTACCCTCTCCGAATTTACAATTTTTCTTGTCTTCTCTACCTTGAAGCATTTGCCAGCCCAGTGCTTCCCTTAAAACCCAGCAAAGCTTATGTCTTGAATCTGTGGAGGCTGGTGATGGTTGTTTAAGAAACTACTCATCCATCTTAATGCAGCACTTACACTGCTTGTGCTTCGATTGCCCATCATCATTTCATTCAGAAGCAGTGATTACTCATTCACAGTGCATTTACTTGAGCTTCCTCTATGAGCAAGTCACCATGCTAGGTACTCTGGAAGATATACAGAGATGAATAAAATGTCTCTTATCTCTGTAGCAATTACTGATATACAATTCTTTCAGCAATTCATCATGTACTGCCTTTTGATGTCTCTTACACTATCTAGAATTAAACATTCTTTAAATCCTGCTATGCTATTTTTCATTTCTTAATGTCTTTACTCAGTCAAATGGTTGTTGAATATCTGTGATGTAACAAGCACTATTCCAGAAGCTGGGGCAGAAATAAATAAATAATAGTTCCTGCCATCCAAAAAGGTCAAACTGTAGTACAGAAGAGGAAATAGAAATAGATCAGTAATTACGACAACACACCAAATGTTCTTGGAATCCCCCAAAAAGGGATACTCAAATTCTCAGACATGAAGCAAGGCCTCACTGAAGAGGTGAACTTTCAGGTAGGCCTGGAAGGTTAGTATCAAGTGGACTAGGTCAAGAAGGGTATTCTAGATAAAGGGAATGTCTGGAACAGAGGCGCAGACATGTAAACAACATGGTGCATTCAGGAAATAGAGATTTGTGTCTATGTCAGAACACAGAATTGTTGAGATAAAGTTGGGGAGATAAATCGGAGTTTGACTGTGATGGTGACCAGGATCTCACAGTCCATCCTTAAAAGGTCCTTGTTCTTTCTATGTGCATGTGCTACATGACCTGCTACCCCATTGGATCAATATTATCTAAGAGGATATACTTGTAATCTTACTGATTGATTGTAGTTTTGTACCCACCTTGTAATTTTGCTCTATGAAACTTCGAGAAGGGGGTTCATTGGCAGTCCACTTTTGGGTACCCTCCTATCTCTCAGGAGCTATTTCAGTAAATTTTTCCTACTTTTAACCTCTGTTTAACCTCTGTTGTTCCACATATCTGCCATCTAGCATATTGGAAGTTAAATCATTTTCCCTATATCACTAACATTACCATTTAAAATGGTCACACTGTACTTCTTCATTTACAGATATTTCTTGGATATCATTCCATGCCATTACACGCAGATCTATTTTAGTTCTTAAAATGGCTGTATAATTGGTGGTGTATTAGCAGGAAATACTGATTACTGGAGCCAGACTGTGTATCCAGTCTTTTCAGCAAGCCACTTAACTAACCTGTGCTTCATTTACCTCCTCTGTAACATTAACATATCAAAGCTACGTGTTGCATAGGGATTTTGTGAAGATCAAGTCAGTTAATATGTACAGAGTTCAGAACTGGTCTGGTAGATGAAAACCACAGCGGTGATTCTATTTATTTATTCAACACTCAGGGCGTTTTAAACAAGTGACAGAATCCGGTTTCTTTCTGGCACACTTTAGGAATGATAAACAGGGAAGGAAGAAAGGAAGATGGGTGGTGGGAATCTTTTTGGGAAACTGTTGCCGCCATGTGGAGTATTGGGCATTACTGGCTGAGGAAGGACAGCAAAAATAAAACTCTGAAGACATTTTTAAGAGACCAAATGCTAGACTGTTGACTGCGGATGGCTAAGAAGACAGTCATGTAAGTGCCACATTTTGGCTTAAGAGGACTATGTAGATGGTAATGCCATCTTCCTAGGTTCATTTTACAGATACTGAATCATTATTATGGGCGTAGGTACAGAAAATATGGCAGCAACAGGATCTCCGCTCTAAGGTTACATTCCAAGAAGACTTTATGACTGAGGACAGGTGCCCAGCAAATAACAGACAAGTAAATGAACAAGAGTTTCAATTAGCTTACATTTTTTTTTTTTATTGAATAGTAGGAGTCCAATAAATACTCTGGGACTTTAAAACTTATAGAGCTTTGTACAAGTTTAACAGTGTCTTTTCATGATGATTACGGAGCCCGAGATTCTTTTCGGGGACCAGATGAGCGCCCGGAAAGTTATCTCATCTCTCCACCAGTTAGGCTGCGGGTCAGAAGATCGGCCAGGGGAGCCGAACGCTTGGCCCAAGGTCACACAATCCCTAGCCCCGGAGCAGCCTCGGGGTGCTGGCCGGGCCTGGCGAGAGGCCTAGGCCGAGGCCGCGGCTTCACTCCGCACTCGCGGGACCGAGATACAAGCGCCCCCGCCCCCCGCAGCCGAGTCCTAAAAAC